CCCTGCAGTTAAGCAGGGCATCAAAAACTGAGTTTTTAGGGCTCTCGGTTACGGTTCCGATTTAGACCACTGACTGTATAAATATGGACGACACAGCACCATTTCCCTCCACTATGCAAAACTTGAAGCCAAACTGTCATCAATGAGATGGCTGTCATCCAAAATACACACCTTTCATATCATCAAATAACTTATTACAACACCCTTATCATCCACTTTGTAAAATATTTGCCGTGTTAGCTTCCATTGCCATCTAAGGTAACGTTGGCTACCAAGTGAAAAGGAGTCGGGCTGCATATTATGCTATTATCCAAGTCGATTTCATCTTCAGACCCTCGGACTGCATGCAGTGTAGTGACACTGGTTTTATAACACGAAAACCCACAACTTTGCTCTTCACTGGATAACAAATAGTTACTATTCTTTTTTTTCCGTTCTCACTACCCTAAATAGAAAGAAAGACCCTAAATATTACCTACATTTTTTCGTTTCGCGGTTCCTCGCCGGTGTTCGTCCCCCCTCAGCAGCACATGCGTTGGACTGACAGCTCATCTGTAGTCGGCTTTAAAGCTTGCAAAGCAGCATCACAACTCATCACCGTCATTAATATCTGCTCCCCAGTCTGTTTATAACCGCGAACTGCCTATTTTGAAACAGGAAGTATTGTTGTTGATATTCGCCTGGTCTACGACGTCTGCCCCCTGCAAATGGGGGTGGTATTACAAACACACACAAACTACAGCTCTACACACCTTTTGGCATAGTAAAATACCTAAAGTATTCAAACCTCTTCGTTTTTGGACATTTTGTGTTAATACACTGTAAAACACAAACATTTTAAAAACTTTTCAAATGTCTTAAAAATGAATAACTAATTTCTTATTTACAGTAGTATTTAGACTCTCAGTTCACTACTAGGTAAAAACCCCTTTGGTACCAGTTAAACCTGTAAGACTCTCTACCAGCTTTGCACACCCGAATTTGGGCAGTTTATCCCATTCTTCCTTCCAAATCTTCCATCTTACACTGTCTCCTTTGATGTTCTAGGAAGTTTAACATTCAAAACCTTTGGCTCACCTCTATTTTTACAAATTATATTTTGACATTTAAGCAGTCCAAGTCCTGTGAATAAACTTAAAGAGTGCAAGGCTAAGTAGTAAACTGCCAGAGGTAAAACAAACAAATGTATGTCAATCTCATAAAACAGGTCTTTTTCAGCAATTAATAGGTAAATGTCCATCTTTTCCACAGCAGTGGAAGTATATGAAGCCTTGAAAACTGATGTAAACAATTTCTACAGGTGTCCCAACTTTTGATTACTTACAGCAACAAATTTTGTCTGTACAAAGGAAGTGTTGGTAAAGACTGTTCACATTTGGAACATTGCTTGGACAAAGGTAATTAATTTTCTGAACAGTGGTGTAAATCTTGGCTTTGCCTGGACTACTAGTCAGAAACTTGTCTAGAAGCTAGTCCAGTCTTGGCTGTTGTTGTGCTGAGGTGAACCATCAAATTATCCCAGGTTATGTGCACTCTGAAGCTTTTTTTTTTTATTAAAGTATCTCTCTGTATTTGACTGCATTCATCATTCACTCAATTCTGAAAAGTCTGCCTGGCACTGCTGTTGAAGAGCACCCCCACAGCGCAATGTTGCCACCACCATGCTTCACTGTCGAGATGGTATTAGACAGCTGATAAGAAGTATCTGCTGTTCACTGACCGGATGTAGTGCACGTATGTGTACAGAGTGACACGCTGATAACGTGGTATAAATGCTATTATCTATGGGCATGAATGCAGGTGTGCCTGGAGATTTTGATTTGCCCTTTGGTGCATCTTGGGCAAAAATTTTGAATACCACTGCAGCAGAAAACCCTGATGACTGAGGCAGAGTAGAAATTCAACAGAGGCAATATTTTTAACAAAATGTTTATTTTTTCAGGGGTTTTTTTTGCCCAGGACAACTTAATCAAGGAGAAATAAGTAGTAATATTTTTATTTGAATTTTTTTCAGTTTTTACATTTTGTCAGAGCTGGATGGTTAAATTTATCAGAATTGGTCAAAGAAAATCAAAATAAATGAATATATAATACATTAATAATTAATTCAATACAATAAAGTGAGGCATCAATGATGGAATAACAATGGCCCAAAAAACGGAGGGTTATTGTTTTCACTGCTTCTTCTGTGGTACTGCAATAATCACCAGCACTAAATCAACAACAGCAGAGAAGGAATGGAGCACTCACAAAGTTCTGTACCCCGGCCTCCCAAAGAGGAAACACTTTTTAAATTTAAATAATATTTTTATCAAAGCTTATGTTTTTTATATTCATAAAACATTTCTAAAACTTAGTCTTCTTTAAACTTTTTTTTTTTTTTTTTTTTTTTTTTTCTTTTTTTCCTTTTCAGAGATTTTTAAAGTTTGTCTCCTTTTTACCACAATGTGTCCGTTTTTGCAAGTGTGGTTGCCTGTGTGTTGTTGAGTATCAGTATCTGTACCTGTGTGTGTGTGTGTGTGTGTGTGTGTGTCCTTGGCTGATGCTTGTTGGAACAACTCTGAGCTGTCAAGCGCTCATGTGATGGTTAACGCCTGCACATATGACCATGATGATGTGTTTTTAAATGTGTATGGAGTGTGCACATATGTGTGTGTGTTTTGTGTCTTTACACTGCTTTACCTGTATTAAGGTACTTGCAGTAAAGACTTTCATACTGAGAGGTTGCAGCTGGCTCAAGCAACAAGGTGTGTGGCCTTTAGTTAGCTTTCTGTGTGGGTGTATTCATCTGCTGAGAGAGCATATCCAGGAGTGTGATGTGCTAGAATGTGCACGAGGGTGAGCAGACTGAGTGAAGTGTGCGTCTCTCAGTGCCTACATAGCGTCAGTGTAAATGTACGCAGGTGTGAAAGGGTGTGTTCGTACTGTTTGAGGATTTAGGTACCAGCAGGTGAACTTCTTATGTTTGCACGGCTGTGTAAAGCTTTTTATGAGTCTGTATAGCCACTGCATGATGTGAGAGAGGACATGTCTGTGTGTGTGTCTGTGTGTATGTGTAATAGAAGGCACAGAGGATGGTGTGGGAGGCTCAGTCTCTCAGGTCCATGCTGGAGCCGAACAGGGCCACCAGCTGTTCCTCATAGTGGGCGATGTTCCTCTTCATGATCTCTTTACAGGAACCCAGGAGGCGCTCGAAAGCCTGCACGTCTATTACTGTGGAGCGGGAGAGAGAGAGAGGGAGAGAAAGGAAGAGGGATGTTAGGTATGTCTGTATAAATCCACTTGAGTTGCTCAGCCTATAAAATGCCACAATAAATGAAAACAATCCACTCAGTTTATTGTTACTGGCTCTACAATCTTTGACAAAATCAAAAGTAACAGATAACTGGACCAATTTGATCAAACTGTATACACAGTTAACACTGAAAGGGTTAAAAAAAAAAGAGGGAACACCAAGAGTAAGGGTGACTGACAAAATTTACCATGAAAAAATGAACTTGTGTGAATAAGCACAGAAAGATGTGCAATTAAGTAGATTTCACAGCACAGAGAGGAGAGGTGAAAGAGAAACATGACCAGCTGTTTAAAAAAAAAAATAATTTCACTTTCAGAAGTGAAGAGCTGCTCATTCACTTTAGAGCCTAAATTAGTGCACCCACCTTAAAAATGAAATAATACCACATGGCCTTCAATTAACAAAACACAGAAGGATGACAGACGAGATGAAGAGCCAGACCCAAACAGTGAATACAACAGGAACTGTTGTATGCCTGAGTGAGTTAAGTATTGTTAATTAAAGCTTTTCATTTTAAATCGAGTGCAAACTCCATAAACGTTTAAACGCACTAAGATTGCACAGGACTGTTCACATGGTGCTTCAGGTGAAAAGCTACTTTATGTACACATCCGACTTCATGATCAGTTTTCTAGTGAGCAGCATTGCATCAATGTTGACAAATGGGCTTTACAAGTGTATCAGAGTGCCTTTCTCTTACCCAAACACTTGACATCACCCACTGCATAGGCTGAGGCGGCCCGGGGCTTGTTAGTGACCAAGGCCAGCTCCCCAAAGTACTGACCCCTGCTACAGCGTGTTATCTCCACCTCTGCATTGTCTGCGTGGGCTGCTTTAGTCTGTGGAGATGGGGCAGAAGTGAGGGGAACAGAGCAGAGAGGAGGATTGAAGGTTAGGAACTACTGATTTTTTTCCCCTTCAGCGAGAAGCGCTGAACAGCTGACTATGATTCACGCTGTTGCTAGGCAAAATCAGGCAACACTTTTGTACTCTGGTGGATTTGGAGTGTGGGTTGACATTGTGTAAATGTGCTGCACAGAACCTACCTGGTAGAAGAACTGTATTCATGAAAATTCCTGAACCAACACAAACGCTTTAAGAAAATTCACCTGTCTGATATGATTTTTTTTTTTGCCTTTCATTTATCTGATCTGTTCTTTATTTAAATAATTAGTTTTAATTATGGCTGAACCAAGAGACAAGTGACACCTGGAAATATGTAGAGTAGACGTGGACAGGAAAAATCTTTTTACCTACATGGGTCTATGAAGGATGCTCAGAAAAATAAATTACCCTCCACACTAAAATACTTAAAGTAGGGCAATTAATAAATGAGAAAGGTGAGGATAAGCGTCTTACTTTACTCTTCATCATTATCTTGACCTCCCCAGATTCTACAATGTAAAAGCAGTCAGCCTTGTCTCCCTGAGGAGAAAGAAAACCCACAAGTTAAATCCACACTGAAAAATAGGTATGTATTGTATGCACATCTTAAGAACCCTAAACACTGCAATGCATGTCACCCTTTCCCTGTATAAAACAACTTCTTACCTGTGTGATGATGCGCTCACCATCTGAGAACTGCTTTACGCCTAATACGTCCACTATCTTCATCCTCTCTGTTACCTGGAAGGACAAAAAGAGGGAGAAACACAGGTACATGGAGAGAAGAGCACTGGGAAATGCGAGGTAGAGAGGTAACCTCTTCTTCTCTCCTCTGCTCTACTGTGGCTTGACCATCTACTCAACTTTAGTGTTCTATACACTTTAAACTTTTTGGTGCAAGTATTATGTATGTCTAAGAAAAGATTTGCTTAGTTATTATGATAAATAAATATAGAGTGCAGGCCAGAGCTCTAGCCATTGTAAATCTTTTTCCATACTCAACTTGCTGGTGTTCTGCTGTTAGCTGGATGGCTAGCCTCACATGTGATGAGAAACAGAACCAACTCACAAACTGCTAGAGCCTCAGAATTATTTGCACTGGCCACAACTGCTATACTCACCTCCAGTGATTTGAGTAAGGGCACAGACTCAATGAAGCACTCGTACATCTTCCTCTTCTTGGCATTGTTCTTCAAAATGAGTCTACGAAATGTGGCTCGGTCCTAGGGAAAACAAACTCAAATAAATAAACACCTCCAGAGGCAAAGTCTCTCTGTTTGACCACTGCTAGTCTTCCTCTGTTCAGCCACAGGGTGGAGCTGCAGCAGTAAAAACCAACAGAATTATGCTGGCTCCATTCATAGATAACAGGACTCCATTCTTAACATGTCTGAGCATCTCAGCTCAATGTACTGTATTTGGTAACTGAAACTGGACCCTGCCTGCTCACAAGTTTATACACCGAGTTGGCAGTTTATTAGGTACACCAGGCTAAACCTAGTGCAATCTAATACAACACTCACTCCTGCAATAAATCCTCTTGCATTAAGGTGATAATGTTCAGTTTGTGTTCATAATGTTTTAGAGAGGTGTTGATTCAACAGCGTAATTATTTTGGAAGATGTACTTTGACTGTGATGCCTTATACAGAAAAATGTTTATTTAGCCTAGTCTCAAAAATATAAATGGAGTGGGCAAAATAATAGAAACACTTGTCAGTATATTGCAACACAATTCAACAGCACCACAAATGTTACTTAATACAGCTGAATCAAAAGCTCACAAAAGAATTTCAACAAAACTGAAGTGCATAACCTTAATGGAGGAGGATTTATTTCAGGACCGTTTTATTAGACTGTATTAGGTTTAGCCAGCTCGACCTAATAAATGGCCAACTGAGTGCATAAACTCATGATGATTGCCAAATATAGTAAGAGTACACCACAGTATCACATGTCACACTGTCTGGTTTTGCTGTTTGTGTGCATTTGCCTATGTGGATGTTCTTACCAGACCCCAAAGTGCACCCTCCTGGGTGGCGATGATGGTGGCGGCGCGTGGCGTGTTGTACATGAGTGCCAGCTCGCCGAAGCTGCCCTTATTGTTATACTGACCCACGCATGTTCCTGATACCACTATGTCATACACACCCCTGGTGAGAGAGAGAGAGAGAGAGAGGGTGAGACAGAGTTGACCAAAAAAAAAAAAATCCAAAAGGGAACACAAAATATAAATTACAATATAAACTACAACGATTTATACCATTTAGCCAAAGTTGGCAATTGGTGCTGTTTATTGACCTACTGAGTGATTTAAATATTCATCTAATTACAGATTATATGACAGGACCATGTTCATCTGGCACACTGGGTTACACAGTTGTTGAATCTGTGTTTGTGTGTACGTACCAGTCTGTATAACTGTAGTAGCTGCAACTGTAGAGTATTTACTCACACACTTAATAGTTACATATCTGCATGTAATGTATCACAAATCAGAGTCATAGTGGCACATGTTGCTTATAGAGAGTAAGAGGTTATTAGAGCAGCTTTGTCAGAGCAGCTCTCTGTTTATATACATGAGGATTCAATAAGGGAAGGTAATTTGCAGCGTCGCTGGTAACCAGGATTAACCAGTCATTTGGAACAGCCTGTGCTCCCATTAGCTGTGTAGTGCGGCAAAGGTCCTTGTTCCTGGTGGAGTATTAAGTTTATAACAGGGACAGTGACTGCTTGTGTCGTTGGCTACACAGTTCAACAGAACACTGTTTGAAATACCGGGCTGCTGGCTCTTTGTTAGGGGAGTGACAAGTTCTCGCAACATTAAAATGTGGCAATCTTTCTTGTTGAGGCAAAAGCTGTCTCGCGATATCAGTATATAGAGAGCAGCAGCCAGAATGACGGGGTGTGAGGGCACATTCACATTCCGGTCTTGGGTCTAAAAGAGTTTCCCCCATCAATACGCATTACCCCTGTTAAAAACTCAGTTTCATGTAGCACTCCCCTCAGCGGTTGTGGTTAGGATAATGTCAGAGGAAACATCTCGATGGGGAAATGGATTTCGACAACACTGGCATAGACTCAACTCCCTGCTGTGTTGTAATGCACAGGGCTGTGTTGGTTGGGGGGTGAGGGGTTGCAGGGGAAATGTTGTAGGCGATACGATACAGCCACATTGTGACAAGTCGACAAGAGTGGCTTCATTCACGTTTCCAGCCTGTGAGTTTCTGTTGTGTTTTGGTTGGCCATGCTGATAATGTAGCCTACTCTACCTTAGGACCAATTCTACCAGTGTGTCTGCACTGATAGATAATAACATCCAGTACTAACGAAAACGCACGGCACGTCATTATGGTGTGTTAACTGTGGCCCACATTTGACAGTGAAGAGCAGTGAATTCTCATGCTAACAAGCTAAACAGAAGAGTCTTCTTCCAGTGGGCATCCACGACCTGATTGTCCATCATACATAACTGGTCAATGCAGCACCTTTGCTAGATGATGCCACTGTCCAGTGTGATGCGGTGAGGGTGAAGATAGCACAGCTTCAGTTAGACGTTAGAAGCTCATACATATAGTTCATGCACAGTCATAAGGTTTGAGGAGACTCGTGTGAAATCAGTAGTTCATGCACAGTTATAAGGTTTGAGGAGACTCGTGTGAAATCATACAGTAAGTTGAGCCTTGAACCTTTTACAGTGTTTGCATATTGTTTTCTTTAACTGCATATGATCATTCATACTCAGAAAGTAGAACTAAAGTGACATTCATTACAAGATGATTAGTTAAAACATTTCAAAACGCACCAAATGCACTTGCATTGTTTGCATTTTGTGACTTTCTCTCAAATAAAATACTATTTTTCCAGTCATATTTTGTCACTGATTTCTTAAAAAAATAGGGGTAAAATATCATTTTGTCTTGTGAGCCAAGTGCATCGTCACACCCCTGCTATTTATTAAAGAGAATAAGCAGAGATCAGTGATACATTTTACACCATAAACCTCCTTGAGCCAAGAAGGGCAGATGTAAAACAAAGCACCAAGATTCTTTTAATAACAGTTTTTACTTTTTGACAAAAACACACAATTCAGCCACAATAAATTATTACCCCAAGGACATTCATGTTTAAAGTCTTATTCTTCAACTGAGGTACAACAAGAATACAGTTGGTGTATTCTGAAGTGTGCTACTGTAGCCACAGCATGAATGGACATTACTCTGTGCTCTGAGAGGATGTGTGCATAGTAAGGCTTTTCTCTGCCTAGTCAGCCCTTGGGCAGTGCCTTTATTGATTTTTAACCTCCCAAGTCTGAAGCTGCAACATTTCACTGCCAACAAATACATACAAGAAATGGGAGAGGAGCTTCAAAGTGATTTGTAAACAACCAAGATGTTTCAGCATTATCAGAAAAATGCAACCATTAAAATGTTGCGATAAGATCTAGTGGTATACTGATTTCAAAACTGAAATCTGTGAAAGTCAACTAGGTAGTTCATTATTAACTTGTAAAAATATAAGAATACTAAATCTAGAGCTAATTTGTTGGAATTTTAACATATATCCAATCAAACTTGTGTGGCTGTGTTAAAGCACCATCAAACTTTCAGCCAATCAGAGCCAAGTACCACAACATTCCTTTTCACGTCATCCCTCCCATTATATATTTACTCCACGTCGCTGAAGGTTTCTGAGTAAATTCCAGTTACTTCCTTTGTTCATAGACTGAGAACTTGACTGTTCAGGCTTATCATACAGTAGCACACAGGCCAGCTAAATGCTACCGTTATTTTTTTTCAGTTTCTTTCCTGCGTTTCCTTTTTCATTTCTGTTTATCCCTCCATGTCTGCGTGTGTCCATGCTCACACCCCACCCTGCCGGTGACATTACAGTAGCTGCCACCTACGCTTTTTACAGGCCACAGAAAATCCCGGGGTTGTATATGGCCAGGGAGGCATGCTGCTCTTAAAGGTCATCTCATATCTCATGTAAAGGAGCAGCCTGTGTTAGAATGTGTATATGCAGATGGAAAGATGGCACACATCAAGTGAAACTAAACCACTATGCTGAACTGATACGTACCATGCCAATAATGAAAAGAAGCTGGAGAGAGATAAACAACGACCAGCCACCAGTCCAACACTGGTAGGTCTGTTCTCTCTTTGGTGCCAGAGGTTTTCTATGTTAAATCATCACTTGGCCAAGTAAAGAGTTATAAATGTCTGTGGCTAGTGAACAAAGAAGTGTTAAATCCTTTCAGTGAAGTGTCGTCTCGGGGATTATCATGGAAGCTTAAAGTTACCGCTATATTTTAAAATGATGAATTTAACCTACGATGTTTTCATTTCACCTTTTTACACTATAAGGACCTGAGAATATCATTGTAGTAATTAACACAACCGCCTGAGGCTCAATGTGTATTTATAGTCTTTTTTATAGTAAAAATGTGCCAGTTTTTTCACCGCAAGAGTGAGCAGACCTATTTTACTGTTCCTGCAACTTAACACTATAATCCATCACAGGCTACAAAACTGTCCTTGTAAAGGCCTGTGTACAGTCTATTTTAGCAATATGAGATTGTATAGACAGACACAGACAATCATAACTACTAACAGTCTGATGAAACCAAAGCCCTTCTGCATAGACCAGCAAACTGGCCACAGATGTTGTAAATCTTTAGCACTTTAGTTATTCACATAATAATTCCACAAGTATTCACTGCATTTAAATACAAGAGACCTGTAATTAAAGACATCTTTTAGAATTTTATACTGTTTAGTTGTCGGTGTCACTGTCAAATTCAGCTGTGTGATCTCTTGTGAAGCTGTAACTGATGGCATTGGATTCACTGCCTTGTATTTTCTAATATTTTGACTCCTCTGTGTATGTAAATTAGCTCTTTTCCATGCAGTGCAGTTAATTCAATACTTACACACAAGCATCTCCGTTAATGACCCCCAACACGGGTGTCTGCTGCCTACCTCTCTATGACGTAAAAGTTGTCTCCATCATGTCCCTGGTCGATAACATGCTCCTGGGGTTGAACCCGTAACTCAAACATGGCGTCCAGCACCTGAGAGAACTGTTCCTGAATGGGGGAGGAGAGGAAAGATGGCATTGAGGTGAAGAAACAAGTAGCAACAGTGGACGTGTGTTTGTGGAATTCAACAAGCAGCTCGTGTGAATGCTTCTCAAGGGAGACATGACAAAAATCATTTAAAATAATAAAATTATCCCACGGTGTTGTTGTCTCTTGGGTTTGAGTCCATCATAATCTCAAAGATTTATCACTGTTGATGCCAAGTGCATGGTTCACAAAGGGAACAGGAAAATATTTTTAAAATATCAAATTAATTTTAAAGCACATCTTCTCAGCCAAAACAAACCTAAATAAATCAAGTATAGTGACATCACACAATCATATGATTTTAGGAACTGCCTTCGGGGAAACAATCCACACTACTGATGCCCAAATATAGGAGGGTTTCAGCCATGTAGGTGTACTACAGCAGCACATAAATAAAACACTAACATGGGCTCCTATGAAGGTTTTTAGGTGAAGGACAAGCAGAGTAAGCTGACTAGAAATTGCAGTGGTTAAATATACAATGTACATATAAAAAGATGCTTAATAATACTTGCCTGTGCTTTTTATCAGCTGACCTCAACACACTAAACAACAAATGTAAAGTGGTCATCTCAGTAAGGACTGAATATCTGAAATCAGACAACATTACTTGCAGGACTACTGCACTGTGTTGTACTGTTTTCATTCTTCTGGTCTCTCAGTGTAGGATTAATGGTAGTAGATGTGACTTGTATCAGTATTGATCTACATAGACTACATTTTTTTGTGTGAATAATGAGTGGAATGCAGTTTCTTTCATACATGGCTCACTGAATGGTGTGATGAGGACATCATTCCTTCTTTAGAGTTCCAAAGAATTTTATAATCTACGAAAATGAGCATTGAAACTGTTCTGGACGCTTCATGTCAGTGTTTCCGCCTGTATACAAGTACTTTTCTGCGCTGCTTGGTTATGCTGTGTACACCTCTCCTCCTGTGAATGGTTTTAAGTTTCATTTACCTGATCTAGTGTTTTGAAGAGAAGGATGTCTTGGCAGGCCTCCTGCAGTCTACAGCGCTGTTCATCTGTTTTTGGGTGTACGACTCTGGGCTCCGTATCCTCGTCATCCTCGTCTGGGTTGAATGCCTCTGCACACACTGCAGCAAAGACATGTAAAACCATTTGATGCATTGCATTAATATGTCCTGTGTGATCATATTGCAATTAGATAGAGCAAACAATTCAGGTAACAAATCTTCTACAGATTCATTCAAAGATGAATGAAGGGACAGTAAAAGGTAGAAATGCAGTAAGCCTCCCATCAAAAAGTACAAATAACCTTAACAATGACAACAACAGGTTGCAGGCACTTCAGGTAATGACCAGAATAGCTGTTTAGTAGGAATGGAACAATAGCGAAAACTCACAAAACAATATAGTGACAATAAAAAATCCATGATATATTATCACAATATTTAAAGAAATTTAAAAAATGAAAACAATGAAAAATGTTAAATAATAAATCTGCATTTTTGTACGACTTTTCTTTAACTTAAAATGCTCCTGCTTTCCTTCTTTATAAAAAAATAAATAAAAAATAAAAAGTAGCCAGCCATGACCTAAGCATGTGCACAACCTTGACAGGAAGTATTATTGGCACTGAATGAATTTGCACAATTGCAAAACTAAAGATAATACTTTTCCCAGTGCTTTGTGTGAGGTAAAGCTGTGGCTTCACTGATTCTAAACAACCTTTGTAGAGTCCACACAACATAATGCATGTCCATCATAATGATATAACTTTAAAGTATTTGTGACAGTTCTGGACACAAGATGCACAAGTTAATAAATCATGTTATGAGTTTTACACACACACACACACACACACACACACACACACACACACACACACAGATGAGCAAAGAAAACCACATAAAGCCAAAACAAAAAGCCGGAGACTGCATTAAAAACAGTAAAAGAGAGAGTACAAAGACAGGTAAGATGTTACACAAGCACAAAGCAAAGAGGGACATCTTGTATAACACAAAATGAGGTGATGGCCTGCAGGAAAAGGAAGAGAGGACATCATTACTGTAGGATGCTAAAGGAGCCCAGAAGTGAGGAAATGACACATGCAGAGCAACGTTTTACCACAGTGAATGACAAACGCTGACAAGGTTACTTCAAACTGTCGTCACGTCTGCGTTTCCTTCAACTATATAGCAACACTGTCCTCTTACACTTCTCACATGGCACTTGCCACAAAACACATGGAAGTGTCTGAGGGCGTGTGCAGTCTCGAGTTAAATCCCTTATCTCTCAGCATTCATACCAATCATGGTTGGAGCGCTGTGACCTCTGGAGGGCAAGCAAGTCCATCATGTTCAGCTTCAGTTGCTGGAATTAGATTTGTTTTGTTTCCCCCATGCTGCCATAGCTTCTATCTTCCCCTGGCAGGATGACAGGATACCAAAACACCCAACAGTAAACAAGCTACTGGCGAGTCGGTCTGCTTTGTTTACAAGCTCCCTGTTCACTTAAAATAGGTCAGTGGAATAAATTCTAATGCAAATATGTAATCAAGTCAATCAATCACCTCCCAGTTTTCAGCCAAAGAAACTTCTGTGCACACAAGACTTTGGCATACGTTCCTGAGATCACTGATTTCTAATGACATGGACGACGACAACAACAACAACAGTAGTTTATTTAGAGTGCTATGTTCACCAGCTAGTCATTAACTGTGTCTGTCTGCCAGGCCTAGCCCCCGAAAGCCAACTATTCAAATTATTAGTCAGGAGACCCGTCAGCTGACAAAATTCTAATTGAACCTTTGTATTTATTTTATGTTTTGTCAGTCAGTGTGCATTACAACAGAAGGTAGGGCCAGCCCCCATTAGTTTGTCATCTCCTTCACCTCATTTGTGTGTGCCAAGCAGCAATCTGGTCAGTGCTTCCCTGCTGTGTTTGGGGGGAATACCCACTTCAACGGTGACAGTGTACAATGCATGGATGTACAAGGTCTGATGGCACTATTAAACAAGCTGCTACACAGAATGAGAAGAAAAAGATGACAAAATCCACAGGGACAAGACACAAAGGCGAGATTTGTACCTTATTAAAAGTGTTTTCAAACATCATGGTCTGCTTTTACAAGAGACAAGACTTTAACGGTTGTGACAATGTGGCTGCTTTTGCATATTTCCATCCGGTTTATTTACCCATCTCTATTCAAGTGTAATGCACAGCGGTTTACCAAATGTTTCCGCGACATGCATCCATCCGAAGGGGACTAAGAAGCTAAAATGCACAGGGAAAACCTTTTAATGAGGAATTATAAATCAGAGGAATCATAAATACGTATATATTCTTACTGCAGATGAAAAAGAGCCCATGGCATGGCTTGTTTTTTTGACTTATCTACAATGTTACAACAGTGAATTATCACCTTAGATGTGACCTAAAGCTAAAAAAAATAAAAAAATAAAAAAAAGTGTACGCATGTTCTAGTATTTTCCATGCTGAAGCAACTCAGTTTATGCACATCTCGCAAGCTCTCACTTGTGAGACTTTTTTTCTAGCAAGTTGAAGTATTATGTGATAGTTTAAGGATTTACTAGAATGGTCAATCTCTGTACAACCTACAAATTCAACACAGCAGAAAAAAGGACCTTTGTAGTAACATCTCTGGGATACATGATGAACATCACAGTGATGCTCGTCTTTGTTGTTGTATCAACACAATTTCTCTTTAGGGCTCTAAAAGGATCATTATGTCTTACAACATTACCATTACAAAGACAGCTTTTTTTGTACTACACAACATTCATCTCAATAAAAACTTTAAACTACTTTGCCACATCTGTATACAATTTGCTGTTTCAGCTACACTTTAGTAAAGTTGTCAACTTATACAAATGAACAGTCCATACTCCACAGCAAAACTTTATAACACTGCTGTATAAAAAGCAGGGTTAACAATAACAGTAGGACAGCAATAAAGATAACCATCAGGTGACACACCCAGAGCCCAATCAAAGTGCAGTGCTCTGTGACAGCTGACGACATCCAATTACTCATATGCAAACACTAGAGCTGTACGAGAGAGAGCATGAGAAAACAAGAACACCGTACACACAAGATCACAGACACCAACACAAACAGCGTCACAAACATTCAAAATCCAAAACACACGGCAGTGGTGCCTCTTGACACTGTTTTATTATTATTTACATGCATGACATACGTAAATGCACACATCAACAGAGACAGCCACAAATCATTAAGTCTGCTGCTTGGCCTCAACAAGGCTTCACAAGCATGACACACACACACAAGCTGTGGGTGAACCACTTAGGCAACAGTGAGAATGCAATGATTCCCCTGGTGCAGATTACACAGAGACATGACGTCAAACACACACACATGCTGGTGAACACACACACTCACATCTTACCTGACACTCTCCTGTTGAATCTGCTGGGTGGTGGAGCTAGAGAGAGAGAGAGAGAGAGAGAGAGAGAGAGAGAGAGAGAGAGAGAGAGAGAGAAAGAGAGAGAGAGGAAATTAACATCACTGTTTTAACATGACATTTCATACAATATTGTAATTACTTTGAAACCCTCATTACTATTTCCTGCTTTGAACAGGTGCTAGAAACAATAACTGAAGTGAAAGAAAAGGATTTATAAAAGAAAAAAGGGACAAAACAGTGTGTTGGTGAGTCAGAGTGACAGCAGCACTGGAGAAAGAAAGATACTGACAGACAGACAAAGGAAACAAGAGGTGAAGATATAAAAAGCAGGACACATTTAAAGATATGGGCAGACGTGGGAAAAAAAAGAGAGCGAGACAGAGCATCACCAGGAAAGAAAATGTGAGCCAAGACATGAATCAAGACAGGATGAAGCATTTTCAAAGTTAATATTTTTATACACATAACTGCTACTGTAAGCAGTGGTGCGCACACACACACGCACACTTTTGCTCTAACAAATGGCATGGTGACAAATAAGAGTGAATTAGCAAATAATTTAATAAACATCCTTACAAGTAAACTGCAGTATGTATGAGGAATTATGTTTTGGGAGATACAATGATGAAAGGGTCATGGTACTTTCCATCCAATCTAATCCATTGGTTTGCCTGAACCAATTACACATTCCTTCCTCCAAAAGCTAAAAAAAAATGTTAGCCTCTATTTTTTTTTTTATTCCTTTGTCAACTACTCTTAGGCTCTGTGTTTATCACAAATGCCCAAACTGTTGCAATGCACTGTCTGGATGCACAGATGCGGTGGAACACTTGGCATACGTGAGGCACTAGGATTTCACCTTTATTGTGCCTCTGCTTTTAAAATTAAGTACTAAATAAAAATAAATGTAAAAAATACTGTCAAATGCACGATGCTGCCTGTAAACAGCATGCCAGGACAGAGCCTTGCTAATGCTTTTAGACGTGGTGTCTAGGTCTGACCCTGTAACTGAAAAATTGTATGTCTTTCTTAACAAAAGATCATGGCTAATCAGTGTTTAGCTTTTTGTTTTTTTATTCACATTAATACTGAGTGTAGGCCCATAAGAATGTCATGTGCCTTTTATACAGGGCCAGAGGAGCTAATACACTGATTATGTGAGGTCCACTTATAACGGGATACAGATGCTGATATTAGTCAGGAAAGAATAATAAAAAGCCTACATGTATTATCATCTTGGGACATTAATGGTTCAGTGGAAATATCCAGAGCATTTCATGCCTACTGAGAGGTTTGCAGTCAAGATATTAAGCTGAACAGCTTAACAGGCCAACTTAAATCTACTCCTAATTATAACACAGCTAAGTTTTAAAAGTCAAATGCCAGCACCAAGTGCAAGCAATTATTGGCATATGCATTTGCATTTTTATTGTTTAGGTTAGGAAATAACCATCTGCTAAAAAGTCGACATTCATCCATATTTTTTCTAACACTTATCAAAGCTAATGCAGAATGAACACTTCTTTTCACTTGCTGATGTTGGGCCCATGTAACAACAGCTCCAGTTTCAGGCTTTGTCCAACTAAGCCCCACAAGGACAGACCCAGACACCATCCTCTTGCCTGGCTTCACACAGGGTGAGATAACTTGCCCATCTTAAAAGAGCAGTCTGCTAATAAAATACTGAGGGTTGTTGTATGCCTACAAATGCACACACTGTAAATGTGTATAACACCAATTCTAAGTAAATAATAAAATACACTGGCTTTCATGCTCAAGCTGTTGTTTGAGATGGTCAAGCCCATATTTTGTCATAAAACATTCATGGATGACACAAACTGGCTTTAACTCAAGTTTGCAACATCATCAAACCAAACACAGGAACAAAGCAGAAGATGCTCCCTGGCAATATCCAAACAGCAATTGTATTCAAATGTACTTTCTGGTCATGATTTCAGTGCATACACTTGACACTAGACAGTACTCATCAGGAGGGACACTGCTGATAATGAATATCAGGACTAAGAAAGTGGCAAATCTAGAAAGAATCAACTGTGTGCATGAGGGGCTACTGTATGTATCTACAGTATATCTGTATGCACACAACATGCCTAGGTGTGTATCTGTATGCACACAACATGCCTAGGTGTGTATGTAGAGTATGTACAGTGCCTTGCGAAAGTATTCGGCCCCCTTGAACTTTGCGACCTTTTGCCACATTTCAGGCTTCAAACATAAAGATATAAAACTAATTTTTTGTGAAGAATCAACAACAAGTGGGACACAATCATGAAGTGGAACGAAATTTATTGGATATTTCAAACTTTTTTAACAAATAAAAAACTGAAAAATTGGGCGTGCAAAATTATTCAGCCCCCTTAAGTTAATACTTTGTAGCGCCACCTTTTGCTGCGATTACAGCTGTAAGTCACTTGGGGTATGTCTCTATCAGTTTTGCACATCAAGAGACTTAAATTTTGCCCATTCCTCCTTGCAAAACAGCTCGAGCTCAGTGAGGTTGGATAGAGAGCGTTTGTGAACAGCAGTTTTCAGTTCTTTCCACAGATTCTCAATTGGATTCAGGTCTGGACTTTGACTTGGCCATTCTAACACCTGGATATGTTTATTTGTGAACCATTCCATTGTAGATTTTGCTTTATGTTTTGGATCATTGTCTTGTTGGAAGACAAATCTCCGTCCCAGTCTCAGGTCTTTTGCAGACTCCATCAGGTTTCCTTCCAGAATGGTCCTGTATTTGGCTCCATCCATCTTCCCATCAATTTGAACCATCTTCCCTGTCCCTGCTGAAGAAAAGCAGGCCCAAACCATGATGCTGCCACCACCATGGTTGACAGTGGGGATGGTGTGTTCAGGGTGATGAGCTGTGTTGCTTTTACGCCAAACATAACATTTTGCATTGTTGCCAAAAAGTTCGATTTTGGTTTCATCTGACCAGAGCACCTTCTTCCACATGTTTGGTGTGTCTCCCAGGTGGCTTGTGGCAAACTTTAAACAACACTTTTTATGGATATCTTTAAGAAATGGCTTTCTTCTTGCCACTCTTCCATAAAGGCCAGATTTGTGCAGTATACGACTGATTGTTGTCCTATGGACAGAGTCACCCACCTCAGCTGTAGATCTCTGCAGTTCATCCAGAGTGATCATGGGCCTCTTGGCTGCATCTCTGATCAGTCTTCTCCTTGTATGAGCTGAAAGTTTAGAGGGACGGCCAGGTCTTGGTAGATTTGCAGTGGTCTGATACTCCTTCCATTTCAATATTATCGCTTGCACAGTGCTCCTTGGGATGTTTAAAGCTTGGAAAATCTTTTTGTATCCAAATCCAGCTTTAAACTTCTCCACAACAGTATCTCAGACCTGCCTGGTGTGTTCCTTGTTCTTCATGATGCTCTCTGCGCTTTAAACGGACCTCTGAGACTATCACAGTGCAGGTGCATTTATACGGAGACTTGATTACACACAGGTGGATTCTATTTATCATCATTAGTCATTTAGGTCAACATTGGATCATTCAGAGATCCTCACTGAACTTCTGGAGAGAGTTTGCTGCACTGAAAGTAAAGGGGCTGAATAATTTTGCACGCCCAATTATTCAGTTTTTTATTTGTTAAAAAAGTTTGAAATATCCAATAAATTTCGTTCCACTTCATGATTGTGTCCCACTTGTTGTTGATTCTTCACAAAAAATTACAGTTTTATATCTTTATGTTTGAAGCCTGAAATGTGGCAAAAGGTCGCAAAGTTCAAGGGGGCCGAATACTTTCGCAAGGCACTGTAAAAATTACTGCAGGTAGTGCAATGTAGGCCTAACTTCACAAAGGTTTATTCAGCTACTGTACAATGCTGACAAAATACTAAAGTACAGCTAAAGCTTATATATGTAAGGCTCCTGACAAAGGATCTCCCAGTTCTCCCAGGTCATTTTTCACAGAAACACCTTTTTATATTACAGTCCACACCAACAACATAGTCGTTTAAATAAAATGGTTGAAAAAAATTTAATTTTTTTTTTTTTTTTTTTTTTACAGCAAGGAGGAAAAATGCATAAAGAGTGACTTCAGCATTTCAACTCTTGGTATGTGTTAAGTCTCACATACAGTATATACAACACATGCTGAATTTTTTTTTTTTTTTTTTTTTTTGGAAACTTTTTTGCTTTACCTACCTCACCTTATTCTACCTGACCACATAAAAATATGATTTAATGCCATTTAAAAATATGACATGGTCAGAATTTACAACAAGGATAACTGCAAGTTAGTAAACATACAAAGATTTTAAAACAAAAAAAATGGCTTTGCTAATGTTTTATCTAATGCATTCACATGTTCATTACAACTCGGGAATATATAGTGCAACTAACACTTAATTTGAACATGCATTTTGTTTGTGTATAGGAAAGCTCCACCAGCCCCCCTTTAACACTGCTTTTTATGTAATGCCTCTGACTATTGACCTATTTGTGAAACGATATTCATTTAATCTTATAAACATATTTTAGAAGGCTAATTAATCAGATGGCCTATATGCATTGGTTAGTTGCTGAGCTGGCAAGGTACTGTATGTTTACCGCAGGTCATTCCTCCCCACAGCAATCAGACTGTACAATACATCACTGCAGTGATAAGCTAGGTGAAAGTATGAGGGACTTTGTAATAGTCAACTGAGGTGCAATACTCAAATCCTGGGGTAAAATGCATGGTTAATATGCACATATGTAAATTCTGTTCTTGATTACTGAAATATTTGATTCTGTCTATTTTTGAGTACTTGGAATTTATCAGGATGTGTGTGCGGTGCTTGTTCTCATGGTGTTATGCTGTCTGTTCTCTATTGCTGCTTGAGGTACTGAAATTTGTTTATCAAGATATGTGTGTGGTGTTTGTTTCTCATGGTGTTATGTTGTTTGTCCTCCACTGCTGCTGAAACACTGAAATGTCCCCATTGAGGGATCAATAAAGTACCTACCTACCTATGTTATATACAGTACAACAGCTCAT